TATGGTTGGCCAGTAATAGCCCTGCAGGATGATTTTTCTGGCCAAGGTTCGGGGCCCTTGGTGGCTGGAGCAGATCCCTTCATGTATCTCTTCAATCACTGCTGCTGCTAGGCTCGGCGGGATGCACCTGAGGTAAGGTCCGCCGAACGTCTTCTTATAGAGTTGCCCATCAATGAGTTCAAAGTTAGGGGCACGCCTTTTTATCCATGCAGCTCTTCTTGTGCTGCCATCCTCGTCGGGCTCCGGGAGTGTTCCATTTCTGAGGTAATCAGCTATCTCCTTCGCCCAGTTGGGTTCGGCGATGGAGATAACCTCCACCTGGATGACGTCCGTCGCCGGTGCTGGAAACACTTCCTGCCTGACGAAGCCTCTGATGTGGCGGGGGATGCTTGACGCCGGATCATCGGTTGGGGGGTTGCTTACCTTTGATAGTATGTCCGCCTCTGCGTTTTCCACCCGTGATACCTGCTCAAGGATCACCTGCTCAAATTGCGCGGTCTGCTCCTCCGCCAGCTCCTTGTAAACCTTCATTCTCTCCTCCCTGGTCTCTGCAGTGCCGTTCATCTGGGTTACCACCAGCTGGTTGTCCATCCTCACCTTCAGACGAGCTGCTCCGAGGGCTTTCGCGCATTTCAGCCCCGCGATAAGCGCCTCGTACTCAGCCTCGTTGTTGGTGACCTTGAACTCAAATTTCATAGAATAGTAGGCTTTGAAACCCTCGGGGGAAGAGATCACCGCTCCTCCGCCACAGCCCCGCGCACTCGAGGCCCCATCGGTGTACATCTCCCACCAATTGTCAAAGTCGTTGCTGTCATGGGATTCGTCCTCGGTGCGCGCGGTGCATTCCGCAATGAAGTCCGCCAGTGCCTGTCCTTTGATCGTCGGCCTTGGCTTGAAGTCCACGTCATACTGGCCGATCATCAAGGACCACTTGGTTATCCTCCCGCTTGCCATTGGATTCCTGAGGACTGTGGCGAGGGGCTGCGTCGTGTAGACGGTCACCGGGTGTGCTTGGAAATACGGCGCCAGGCACTTGATGGATGCAATCAAGGCGAGGATCGTCTTCTCCATCAGTGTGTATCTCGTCTCGGGGCCGTTCAGCGCCTTACTCACAAAATATATTGGCCGCTGAACGCCTTCAGACTCCTTCAGCAGCACGACACTTACGGCCAGATCGGCTACTGCCAAATACATATACAATCTCTCCCCGGGATCCGCTTTGGTGAGGATGAGCGGAGAGGAGAGATATACCTTGAAATCTTCAAAAGCAGCCTGGCACTCCGGGGTCCATTCAAAGGGATTGGCCTTCTTCATGATCTGGAAAAAGGGGATCGCCTTATCAGCCAGCTTGGATAAGAATCTGCTCAGGGCCGCCAGACGCCCGGTGAGCCGCTGCACGTCTTTTAGGTTCTTTGGGGCCTCCATGTCCATAATTGCCTTCACCTTCTCCGGGTTAGGCTCGATCCCCCGCTCGCTCATCATGTAGCCGAGGAACTTGCCGCCCCTGACGGCGAAGGCACACTTCTTCGGATTGAGCCTCATGCTGGCCCTCTCCATGATGCTGAAGACCCTCTCCATGTCCTGGACGTGGTCCTCCTTTTTCTTACTCTTGATCAGGATGTCATCCACGTAAGCTTCCATTGTTTTCCCAAGTACGTCCTTGAACAACATCCCAATCATCCTCTGAAAAGTAGCCATGGCGTTCCTCAGGCCGAACGGCATGACGATGTAGCAATACACGCCGTCCGCCGTGACGAACGCCGTTTTTTCGGCATCATCGGGGTGCATGAACACCTGATGGTAGCCTCTGAATGCGTCCATGAAGCTGAGCAGCTCGCAGCCTGCTGTCTCATCCACCAGCAAGTCGATCCTCGGAACAGGGTAAGGATCCATCGGACAAGCTTTGTTGAGGTCCGAATAATCGACGCACATCCGCCAAGTGTCGCTCTTCGGGGCTAGTACCACGTTGGCCAACCATTCCACGTGGATGACCGGTCAGATATGTTTGATGCTGAGGAGAGTTGCTGTCTCCTTCCGGATGAAATCGCGTCGGTCGGCCGCCATATATCTTTTCTTCTGTTGTATAGGCTTGGCATCCGACCGCACGGCGAGTCTATGGCATATGAGGTTGGGGTCGATGCCCGGCATGTCCTCCGGCCCTCTGGCGAACAAGATTCTGAACCTTCGGAGGACGGCTACGACCCCCGCTCTGATCTCCGGCTCTAGGTCTGCACCGATGGACACCTTCCTGTCCGTTGGGTCATCGAGCTCGATTTCCTCCAGCAAGGTAGCTGGTTCCAGATGGGCGTCCAAGTCGGCCTGTTTGGCCTTCTCGGAGATGCTGTTGACCCGAGCCTCCCGCTCGTTGAGCTTCTCCATGGCCTTTGTGTAGCAGGCCCTGGCCATATGCGGGTCCGTACGTGCTACCCCCACTCCGGTGTCGGTAGGGAATTTGATGCATGAGTGCCGTACGGAACATATGGCCCCTAAGTCTTCCAAGCCGGGTCGGCCCAAAATGGCGTTGTGGGCACATTTCAAACGGACCACGACGAACGTCATCCCGATCCGAGCGGTGTGAGGGCCGTCGCCGATCTCTACTGGCAAGATGATGGTGCCCTCCGCGTCAATGCAATCCCCAGTGAAGCCGGACAGCGGGGTACGCAGAGGGTGCAGCATGTCCTTCTTGAGCTTCATTCCTTCGAAAGCCTCCCAGTAGAGGACGTTCACACTGCTCCCGGTATCAACAAGGACGCGGCGGACGATGGCATCGTTCACGTCCATGCTGATCACCAGCTCGTCTCTGTGCGGCGCTGGTGACATCGGCAGATCGGCGGGACCAAAGGTGATTGCCTCGATCTTGTTGCGCTTGGTGGGGGGTGCTGATACGGAACCCACGTAGAGTGATCTCTCAAATTTTTTCCGCTCGGCGGGTGTATCCCCTGTCTCAGCGCCCCCGAAGATCACCTTGATCTCCAACTTCTTCTTTTTGCCCTTCGGGCCAAGGGATCCCTCCGGACGTTTATCTGCACTTCGATAATCCACGTCCTGAGGTTCTGCCTCGCGCCGGTCGTCGCGGCGCCATGTCCGGGGTCGGGGATTCGGCTTCTGTTGGCTGTTTTTGTTCAGCAGCTGGGTGAACTCGCCCAAGTACCCCTGACGGATCAGCTCGTCGATTGCTTTCTTTAGTTGGCTGCAATTGTCCGTCAGGTGGCCGGCCCTCTGATGGTATTCACAGTAGGCCGATTGGTCAAGCCCCATATGCTTCTTCATATCTTGGGGTTCCATCAGGAGGCCCTTGTCCTTGATGGCCTCAAAGATTTGGCTCACTGGATAGGCCAATGGGACATAGCGGTCGTCCGGCCGCGTCTGAATATCTCCGGACGGAGCCTTCCAAGGGACCATCGCCCCGTCCGCCTTCTTCTTTTTGTTCGGGGGGGAGGGGCCGGGCCCCGGTCTGGGTCCGAGCCTGTCCGCCATCTTCCGTGGGTGGGCCGCGGGAACTCCGTCCCGCTGCCTGATTTCCTCCTCAATGGAGGCATACTTCTGGGCCCGAGCCAGAACCTCGGTGTAGCTGGTGCCGGGGTTCCTCCTTAGGTCCCGGTACAGATCTCCGGTGGCCAGGGCACTGGTGAACATGTTCGTGGCCAGACGTTCGTCCAGATCGTCGACCTGCAGGACTTCGTCTCTCCACCTTACCAGGAACCTAGCCAGCGGTTCGTCCCGCCCTTGTTTGATGTGGGCGAGAGCCGTGACGTCCTTCCTGGGGGTGGTGCTGGCAGCGAATTGGGCCATGAACTGCCGGGAGAGCTGTTCATATGAGTCGATGGTGCCCGGCCTCAACTGGCCGAACCATTCTTGCGCCGGCCCCCTGAGGGTGCTGAAGAACAATCTGCAGATGGCCTCGTCCGATGCTCCCAGCATGGACAGATTCCCTTGGTAGCTAATCAGATGGGCCTTGGGATCACCAGCCCCATTGTACACCAAATTGCCCGGGGGCCTGCAGTCCCGGGGAATCTCGACGCTCATCACCCGTGGGGTGAAGGGGGACGTGAGAGAGAAAGAGGGTGTGGCCGATCCGACGTCCGTCCGTCTGTTCATCTCGGCTATCTGCCGCTCCATTGCTTCCAGCCTTGCATCCTGTGCGGCCCTTCCGGGGGACACAGGGGGCACGGCCTCGATGGCAGTGTTTCGCTGAGCGGCCACAGCATCGTGCGGCCGCCTAAGGATTTGCGCACCTCGCCGCTGGAAACGTCGTCCGACGGTGTTGATCCTTGGGGTTTCGTCTCCCCGCGGGACTTGGCGGGGAACCGATGGCGTGTGAGCCCTGGATGCAGCGATGCTGACCCTGGTTCGCCCTCCCGTTTCACGGGAGCCTGAACCTCCGCCTAGCCGCTCATGGACTGAGGGCCGGTGGTCGCTGGATCCTGTCGTATCATCATACGACTGCATGCGGCGAATGGGAGAGAGGGGCGTTCGCTGGGTGCTTGCAGAGTACACCTGCTCTCGGGCCTCCCGTTCGTCTGCCAAACGGCGCATGGTGTCAGCGAGTTCCCGCATGAGGCGGGGATCCTGCCTGGCCTCAAGGGGAATGAGGTCAGTGATGCCCCCGTTTCCCCCGGAGGTCCATATCGTCGCGGACAGTTCCGAGTTCTGGCCGCGATTCCGGCGGCTTGATTCTAGACGCTCGGAGATATCACGCTGGTTGTTGCTTCCTGACATCGTGTTTGCTGTAGGTAGATTTAGTAGCTGTTTGGGAGAGTTTCTGGAAACTTTTTGTTCAGTTTCCCACAGACGGCGCCAGTGTTGAGGTTTATTCCTTCAACCCTCAGGCCCAACACGTAAGCCCAAAGATTTTCGAGTGGAGTGAGTGTATGAATATCTAGCCCAACAACTATCAGATGGATCAGGAAACAGAGGAAATAGCAGGCAATGTAAATAGGTATTATTAACTCCGTAATAACTCCCCTAAGTACAATCTACTTGCTAAAAAAGGCACGTCGGCCGTTCGTCTTACAAGGCAGTTAGAAGTGCTGCGAGTAAGAATGCTAAAGCTAGAATGCTAAGAGTAGAAAGTTGCCAACCCTTTACAATGAAATAAATGCTTCTATTTATACCCACCAATGGGCAGGTGGCTGTACTGACGTGGCAGCCTGTGGACCGCTGGTGCCCCAACTACCAAATCTTCAGCATTAAATGCACTTCCCGCCAGAATCTAGGTTTCCCGCCCAATCAGTGGGGACGTTCGTCCGCCCGGGAAGTGAGTCGGATCGCTCCAAGTGACCCTCAAGAGATACCGGCTGTTCGTCTCCTGGCCTTGATAGATACTCACCATGTGGACTGGGTTTCCTCCGATGACTATAGGCTTGCCATGGGGACGTTCGTCGTCATCCCTGGTGGCCCGTGGCCCTGCTCCTTGTCCCTGCATAGACGTTCGTCGGGATGAGCCGCTGGGCCTGAACTCCCAACCCCAGACGTTCGTCCATCCTCAAGGAACATGGGCCTGTGGGCTGGCCTTGTGTTCTAACTGGACGTGCGTCTGGTAAGAAGGGGTTAGTGGGCCGGACCTCGTTGATCATCTAGCTCCGAGAATTGACCTGCAGAATAATCACTAAAAGAAACTAAAACATATATTAGTGACTCGAGACGCGTCAGACGCTGTCCTAAGGAATTATTTCCGGCGTACGGAAATTTCCCCCAAGATATAACGAGCCCTTCGATACAAGACCGGTAACAGAACTAACGAGAAGAAAATTAGTATATGAACCCAGCAATAGAATATTTTAAAGTTGTTTATATATATAATAAGGACCATGTATTTTCCAAATGTCATGAAACTAACTCTTCTCACATAGGAGCTCTTCTCTCATAGGAGGCTCACACACAAGTATATATATAAATTATGTATTCCACTCCCAAAGCTCTCTACGTTACACATACATATATCATATATGAGTATATATTTATACATGTCTTAATCTCTTGATGCATAGCAGCATAGGTATATATATACAATTCATATCTTCTATTATACAAAGGCAAAATAAAAACTGCACAGTGTTCCCGCCGACACTGTGCAGAAACGGGCCGGGTCAATTTGAAGTGGGTTCAAAAACGGGTCAGTCAGCAAGTTTGTTTTATTGCTCAGAGTTTTTAAATGCGGGCCCACTGTACAATGCAGTTTTGGTGGCTCAAGAAAAAGTTGTGTTGAGCGGTAAAAGTCAGTTTTTGTGGCTCAAGATACAATGTACCGCACAAGCATTTATTGCATTGTACTATTCAAATATTCAAAACAGTTGCATTGCTTTAACGTGATCTAGGACGGGTGGTATGAGTTGTCTTTATTTAATGCATTGTAGCAACCTTTACTTTTATCAAGCTACTTTATTGTGGTCTATTAAAAATCACATCGCATAATTGCTTACTTTTGACCAGTGGGTAATCTTATTACATATTCAAAAAAAATTGTAAAATTGTAGTATAAATATGCCCAATTAAATCAGTTGGGGACCTCAGAGCAACACACCACAAAGCAATGGAACTAGAGTGAGGACGTGAGGTGTGTGTGCCTTTGATATTAAGGGTAGACACCGGCAGTTGTGTTCGACGATGACAGGTATGTCCTGCAATTAAAATTGTTTGGGGAAGTTATACAATGGAATTCAAGTAATCTAAGTAATGTTTATCTAAGTTTATCTATCACCAACATCACCAGATCAATAGAAGATACTACAGAGTACCAAATATATTCAAAATGTAGGCTTTTAAAATGTACTCATAAAAAAACCACAAAGAAGAGTATTAGCTGCTATGCTATTGAAAATCTTATCAGTATTTGGTCAACACTGAGTCACTAATCCATTCATATGTGATAGACTATTCTCTATTGTTAGGTATCCTGTGTAATGATATTTTATTAATGCAGGCACAACTCATGCGAAGAGAGGGAATGAAACAAAGATGTGTAAGCATACTTTATTTAATGTACTCATAATGCAGGCATACCTTCATTAATTTTTTGTTAAAATTTTTCAAATGTAATATTTAAAGATTGTCAATTTTCTTTTGCAGGTTACATTTTTTCTAACAAAAACTGAGAAAAACTATGAGTGACACAACCAACATTCAAAAGAAAGTGATTATTTAAAAAAGTAAAGCCCTTATTATAGACTGGATGAAATAAATGTTTATTCCAAATGGTTTCTCAAACACATGTATTCAATGGTAAGAACAAAAGGTATTTCTCACATGTAAAACTTAAGATTGTTTTAGGTAATTAGTTTTATATGCCTTACCGTTTCTAAATAATATATTTTGATTGTAACAGATCAACAGCCATACTAGAAGGTCCATACATTAAAGTAAACGAATCAGGGAAGATAGGGCATGTTTGGAAAAAAGTTCATGTCCAATCAACCCCTTCTGCTCATCCTTTGAACAATCAACAGTTTATTTTACAAACAACCTGCCTTTAAAGATCATGAATTTAAATGCAAAAAGCAAGAGTTAAAATTCAGGGCTTGAAGATGATACCTGAGAATTTGATAATGCAATAATAAAACCATGTGATACCTGCTATATATAGTGTCAACTTCTAATGGTATAATATATATCTTACATTTTTATATTGGGAACACATTTGATAGTTGCCTCATATAATAATATATCATTATAAAACCGTTTAGAAATTCCAGGAAGTATATAAACAAAGGAAATAATATTAAAGCCACTTGCTATGGAATCTTTGATGAAAATATTGAAGGCATCAAATTAACTATAAATAAATTCTAATGTGTGCTAAAAAATTCTATATTTCATCATTCAATATGAAAATAAGGCTTGCAACTATGAAAAATAACTACTTTTTATATCAGTTAAAACTTAAAACCATAAAATAGCGCAGTGGTGGATGCAAGAGTGAAGTTTGACACTATTACTTTATATAATTGTATATTACCGATGTCATTTACAATTAACCTTTCAAAAAATATAGCATACCATCAAAACTGATTAGATTTATGATGTTTATCACAAAACTATAATATATATCAAGCTATTGTAATAATTTGAGCACATTTGATATTGGCCTAATAAAATGTTACATAAAATATACACACATATATATATATGTATACTTATATAACACGGAGGCCTCTAAAAAATAAAAAATAAAACATTTTTTTTTTGAATTTTACAAACGATAACATCGTATGAAATAGGTTGTAGGACTTTTGTGAATACACAAAATAATGGACAGACTAAGGTTGAGTATAGCATTTTCGAAAGTAGCATTGAAAAGCACTTTGTCTAAATACTAAAGCTAGCCGAAGTAGTTGAAAATAGGTTGTTCCCAAGGTGGCATTTAATAAAAACACAACTGTGTATCACATTTTCGAAATCAGCATTAAAAAGCACTTTGTTTACATACCAAAATATGGCTAAAGTAGTTGGAAATAGTTTTTCCCAAGGTAGCATTTAATAAAAATTACAGCTAATAATAGCATTTTCGAATAACTACATTGTAAAGAACTTCTGCTGAATACCAAGTATGTCAATGAAGTTGATAGAATAAATAATTATATCTCAGCCCCAATTTTGATCAATTAAGACCAGTGTTGGACTACAAGGAAAAAATAGAAAATAGTAGAGTATAGACTTGACATGATAAGATATTTGAAAAAAATATACAAGGTTGAGCTAGGCAAACATTCATAAGAAGTGAGTTTCACCACTGTACGTACTCGGCAATAAGTTGGCCTCTCAAACCGCGCAGATCCGAAGGCCATAAAATGGCTGGGAGGGAATTTGGCAAGGCAACCCTCAAGGCCCAATTTGGATCGTACAGAATCATAGGTTGAATAGAAGCTAAAATACACGCAATATAGAAATAAAAATGACGAAGGTCTTATATCAAGCAATGTAAGCATCACACTTGCACAGATCACAGATCTAAACGCAACAAATGCTACATAATTGATATTTTAACATGGACGAATCCAGATTTATAGATGTAGGATGATCTATACATAAAAACTACTTATTTTATTTTTGAGTCCGAGTCATGAAATAATTCATGGACGAACCCTAAAAATTTAGATCTACAGAGATCTAGAGCTATTAAGACATATACGCTTCACAACTGCATAGATCTACAGATCTAAACCTAACAAAAGCTATGTGTCTTATATATATGTGTGTTTGAACCCAAAACTTATAGATGTATGCAGATCCAAATGCCTAAAAATGATAGATCTAGATAGATCTATTCAAAAACCATGTCTGGTCAACCTTTTTAAAAAAATTAACGCAAAAAATAGAAAATCAGTCTAATAACATTTGAAATCGACACGTTAAGGTTCAATAACAGATCGATGGTAAGCAGAACACATCGAACAGATACAAAAATGGAACCACTACTGAAAACGAAAAAAATGAAGATGGAAGAAAATCGCTCGAATCCCTCACATGTGAACAAACACATCGATCATCGGTGAATCGTTGAGATTCTTTGGCAGATGATGGAGGAAGGATGAGTCAATCGTTTTAGAAGAGAGCTAAGGTGAGATCGATGGATGAGAGTAGTAGGGTAGAGAGGGGATCGGTTTATCCGATGGTTAATAAGGGGCTTTGGTGGGATTCATAGTTTATATATTAGGTTTCGTGCTGGGTTTGTTGGACTGGGTTGGACGAATATGGGCTGGGTTTGTTCCGGAAATAGGCTGGTTTGGTTATATAAAAAAATATAATCTGTTATCTGTTTTAATTAATTTGGTGGTTGGTTGAAATTGGATGAAAATAAAAAATTGATCTGGATTTTATCTAAATTTGAAGGGACTGATATTTTGGTTTAATTATATTTGTAAGAATGTTTTTACTTGGACTGTAATTTTTTTCCAGACCAGACTTGGGTAGTTATAAAAATACAAAGAAATCAGACCAGTTCAGACCAGCAAATTACAGTCCAAGTAAAAACATCCTAATTCACATAAGGTTTAATTTATCTTGCGAAAAATGATAATAATACACAATTGAATAAATTTATATACTACATTTAACTTAATAAATGTGGTATTTACTACATTATCAAATTAATTAATGTGATGACGATATTAGCATAAAACTTAATCCTATGAATCCTATTAGGAACGGAATAAAATCACTACCTTTTTCAAGTCTTATATAAAAATTGTCTATTTTATTGGAAAAATGTAATTGACAACATCTTTGTGTTTAATTGCATTTGTGGAAGAACATGTTGATCAAAATGTTCAAAAACGTCTGTTGCCTAATCACAACATGTCATCTGATGTTTTCGTCGACAGAACTAATGGTACTTCTTACTTTAATAATTATGATTTCACAATATCAATTATCAATTACATAATGAAAATGCATATTGAAACAATGCTGATTTTGAGCTATTTTTATTTACATCTACAGTTTCACATATGTCATTTAATCGCTCTTCGAGTGAGAGGACCATTAATGTCAATAACATAGAGCAATCTTTGGATGTGTGTCTTCCCGATAACCAGCGCATGTGTGACGAAGTAGCAACGCATATAGAGGATGAACTTCCATCACAATCACATCAAGTCGAATGTGTGATTGTTATAACTACTATGTTGTCATTCAAGTGTTTTATTTTTATGAAATGATGCATTTTCTTTATTATTCCTTACTCTCCCAAATGATTATTCGTACCAATTACGAGTCATATATATATAAACCTTAATTACAATTGGTTATGTGTGTTACATATATACTCTTTTATGTCATTTAGACATTAACTATTTATATTAACAACTAACACGAAATAACTATTATTACTTAATATTATTATTTATTATATGTCTCGCGCATCGCGCGGGTGAGAATCTAGTACATTCCAAAAGTTAAAACATTTATACGTTACTCATGTTAAAAGTTAATGCACAATAAGTTTTAAAGATGTTAGTGACGTTAGGATAAAAACCTTTACATTGCCATATATTAATAGTATTTAATATTATGATGACTATCCGTTTGAGAATATTGCCAACCAGGAGAAGCCCACCTTAAAATTTGATTCATTATTTTTAATGTGGAGTAGAAAGAATCTTTTAAGCCATGATAAGTTTTTTTTCACAAAAAGAAATGATATTATATTCATCTGAAATACCCAAAATTTCCAACAATCCCCCACATATTTCAAATGAATGTATTTTAGAGTTTTTAAAATAGTAATTCCTTACTGGGTTCATATATGGGGTGATGTTTTCAATCTGGTGTTCGTAGACTTGAACCAGACCTAGACGCCTAAGTCTTTAAATACCGAATTTATTGGTGAAACGTATAGTTTCTATGAACCAATAATCTACTTTGGTAAGTCAGTGTCTTAGGGGATCATTTTTCACCCCCACCTTTCTCGTCGTTAACGCCGCTGTGCGTGTAACACCCCGGCCCCCCAGGACCTGAGGTAGTTACTCATACACACCCTACGGACCTCTAGTACTGTCCCCACAAACCATCATGAGCCTTCTACGCGCACTTTGTCCTCACTCATGCGCGCCCTGAGAAACTTCCCAGGGGGTCACCCATCCCAAGACTACTCCCGTGCAAGCACGCTTAACTTTGGAGTTCTTGGTGATGAGCTCCCTTAAAAGGAGATGCATCTTGTTGGTATGAGTAGTACTATTAATCCATTTCAATTTAATCTCAAGTGTTACAGTGCGCCTCTAGGCCGTGCGTGTGCTTGGTTTTCTTGAGTGCTCTAGAAGCGTTGTCAATGCTTCATGGAGGCGGCCCCACCTCTCACTCATATAGGTGACCTCATCAAGTGTGTCACGCACTTAACACACCACCCGTAAGGGCTATGTCAATCATTAAGAGCTTTAGCTCAACCTCACAAGGAGATGCAGTCTAACCTTCCACACCATAGAAATGGACATTAAATAAGGCTAGCAGAACAAATAGAAGACTTGTTATTACCCATTTGAACTTGCTTTATGGGATCTCCAATCACACAAGTTGGGTTACCATCCCCATTTGTTGTCAAAATGACATTAGTCCATTTCCCTCGATGTTTAGATTAATCGTTTAACGTCCTAGGGATTCTGTCAAATGAGTAGCTAATTCCTTGACTTCACAAAATTAATGAAATAATTTCATTCTTCAAAGTCATTAGACAAATTATATTTGTGACACCGCACTCGAATGTATTTGGATTCGAAATTTGATATGTATTTGAATTTCCTAGTGAATAAAAATTTCGTGTGACAGGATTGTACATTTAATTAATGCCTGATTAATTAAATGATTTATCGGGTCCAATATATGAATGGACTACCAAATATTTAGTTGGGTCATCGTGATAATTGTAGAAGCCCAATAAAGTGTCAACTAAAGTTGATAAAGATATTTGGACAACCCGAGTGCTATTTTGGCCCAACCTACCGAAAATAGCAGGAATAATTGGGAGGGACTTCCTACACCCACTTGGGGGTATTCTACAACCCATTTAGACTCAAATGAGTAAAGAGGGGGACATGGATGATGGCCTAGCACGTACTGGGGGTGGGAAGTCTCCAATGAGACAATAACCCATACCCATGTCCTATTCTACACAATAATTTTGTGTTGATTG